CTCACTTCAGAAATCTTCCACTTTCAAACGTAAGATGACTCCATGGAAGCAGAGGACTAAAGGACACTAGGTCCTAGTTAGTTCTGGAAGAAGACTATGGATTTATCCTCCACTCTCAACGTCCCCAAGTAACCACGCTTACGAACGACTTCCTCATTGCGCCCAGGAATCGCCAGATATAAAAGCTCCAAGACAGATTATGCCCTGAGATTATAATGCTCCATCAGTCATCATCGAACCACCGCTCTGCGTGTCTCCAAAGCCCAACCTGCGACATCCTCGCGAAATGAACCCCCTCCTGGACATAAACTGCTCTTCCCATACGGTTTCCTGATACCTGGTTATCTCGGTCACCATGACCACGGAACAAGGATTACAGAAGCGAGCTAGCCGAGAATTAACCACGAATACCGCGCAGGCCAGGGACTCGCACGTGGACCAGGGGCTTAGATGCAAATCCCGCGCGCACGCGTATCGGTATTAATATCGAATATGGGGAAGGTGGTTACAACCGAACGCGAATAAAAAAGATGAACGAAGGGATAATCAGGCCGTGGTTGACGTACCGCGGAACGAGCAAACAGATCGTCCTGATATCTGCTGATTGGAACTCCTCGACGACCACTCGACGATGAGGAGGATACAAGGATTATTCCTGGGTGTCTAGGCTCGCATCGACGCGCACGCTGTTGACGGGATGAGAAACAGATTGGTACGATATTCGCTAATTGGAAACTTCTCGATGACGACCTAGTCGGAGATTCTTGGATTATTCTTGGCATCCATAAATTGCGCGGAGACTGCGTGAGTGTCGTACAATCTGGCGAGGAACGGGGTGTTTCGATGCTAGACGATTGGGCATTTTCGATGAGGGTAGAAGCGTGGAAGGACTCTTGATATATGGTAGGGTGTGGAAGAGTGTACGATAACCGAAGAGTGGAAGGATTCGTGCCATCCAGGTTGTTTTGATTAATTGCAGAACCGCAATCTTCATAGTTGAGAAATGTTCTAAGAAGCCATGATTCCTCTATGCTCTCCGAATGCAAACTAATCCTCCAGCCTCGTTTAAGATCACCTAGAATCGATCAAACTCTGATCATCCCCCTTCCAACCCTTTTCTTCCCACCTTGCTCGCTCTATATGATAGAAAGTCATCGGTCTATCTTCCTGAAAGTTAGCTCAGTATTACACTGACTCATCCTCGAATATTTTTGTTACTATCTACTATCCGAATTGGGCTAGAATCGATCAAACTCCGATCATCCCCCTTCCAACCCCTTTCTTTCTAACCTTGATCGCTCTACATGATAGAGAGTCATCGCACTATCTTTCGGAGAGTTGGTTCAGTATTTCGATGACTCATCCTCGAGTATTTTCGCTACCTTCGTCGAGGAAATTGGCCAGCACGGTTTACGGTTAACCGCAATTAAACTGTACTCTAATAGGGCGCGGGACACCGTTACGACATTAACGCAGGCGAATAATCGACGAATCGTAGGTGGAACAAAGGCACCCCTTAATGGCCGTGGAACGGATTCCCCGGTTATTATCGTGGATCCTATTATGTCACGGTTCATTAACATTTATCGTCGACGCAACTGTTGTCTCGCCTGGGCTAGCCGATGGCTATCGTTTAATTGGGGTCAGCTGATTAACTCGCGCACGGGATTGCGAATACACATTCGCCGCCAGAAAAGGGGTCGTTCGCATCGTCGTTGATTCTTATCGTCGTCGTCATCGGTATCATCAGCGGTGCCGTAACGTTACGGAGCCGACTATGTGTTTCCTATTAGTCTCGCTGGTACAAATAGCTCCCCCGTCCATCGGAGACGTTAATGACAGGATAAGAATGATCGGCTCGACGGAGGTCCGCTGTTTGATCGTTCGCGTTATTCAGCGAGATACACTCTCTCTGCCAGACACTTTTACATGTTCCGCGCGTGAAATTTTTCATAGACCAGCGCTGTATTCTTGACGAGGATCCAATCAACGTCGACCGACGTCTCTGGCCTCTTCTTTTGCGCGCCACTCGCCCTGGTTAGCCGTTTCGTTATTAATTCTTTCTCTCTCCTGTTTTATTCCGAGGGAACGAGTGTGATGATGATTGCTTCGGAAATTTTACGTTGGGTGCGTTTGCGTCGAGGTTTCGGGAAAACAGTAAATATTGTTATTGAAAACTAGTTGTGCTCGTATATTTATCCTTCTCGAGTGATTGATTTTAATTCGATCAGTTCAGAGGAAAGACAAAGTCTCTAGCACTTAGCACTCTTATCTGAATTAACTTTGACGTTGTTCCTTTTATTTGTGATGGTTTATTAACGATTGTAAAACGACGAACGGGCCCCAAATAACTTGATTATTTGTACCAGTGCCACTGGTGGGTGTTCTTATTCTAACAAAACCGTCATAAGCCGACCAAGATAGACAAGCAACAAAAGCATGGAAAGATAAGTCCTCTCCATTTTTACGTTTCATCGAGGCAAGTTCTTGGAGTCTCCGTAAAACTCTAATCTCGAGCAATTGCGAGGAAGGTGGATGAACCTTAATTAACTTCGACAATTTCGTCATTTTTTAAATATAACCCAAGACGGTAGAAAATCGAAGAGACACCCCGTACGTGGCGTGCAGATGGTGTCGCGCGTTTTCCGAGAAGACAATAGCGGATAAAGCGAGCGGGCAATGGAACAAGCGCCGGTTGACCGTCGCCTTTAAAGCGACGAAGATAACAGAAGCTGGTACCGCTAGAGGAGAGATGTGGGCGCCTCCATTACCCAACTGTTCAACCTGTTCAACCCGCCGCAATCAGGCTCACGCGAGGCCAGCGTGCCCGACGACGGCTCTTAAACTAGAACGGACCAACGACTATGCTTAATAGCGTCGCCGTCTCTCCTCCTCTACTCCTGCAATAAACACGCGTTCGTAGACACTCGATCATATGATGATACTACCACACTCGAAACTCAACTTTTTATGCCAATTTGGATGAACAAAAATTAATTAATTAAACAGATGGTTGGATAAGAGGGATCTTCGTTCTCTTGATCGACGTAAGCAAACCTGCTAACCTGACGTTGGTAGATTCTTATCTTCATCTCACGATCCGAGTTCTCTCGAGGCATACAGTTCCCTAAAATAAGAATTGAAAATTCTCTCCGACACGAGGACCAATCGTACGTAAAAATACACTTCGATAAAAAGAATTCAAAACGCCCTTTAACCTGATAAGATCAAATTACGAGGAACGGTACACTTTGATAAAAAGAGGCACCCACGCGTAGACGAAAGGAAGAAGATCGTCTCTGCAACGAAAAAATGTTTAATCGCCATCGTTGTTGCGGTTATCTCTTCGTCTCCTCTTCCTTCTCGGTCTCGACCACCTTCCGTTCCTCTTCTGTTCGTCCTTCTGCGACGGTGCGCGCGGCCCTCGCGGTTAACAGTTAGCCGGAACACGGAAGCTGGGCTTTCACGGTTCAATGGAACGGCGATCCAAGGCGAGCTGTATCGATCGGGGATCGACTGTCGATTCGACGAAATCGAGGCTCGCCTTCTCGCGAGGCCCGTGCCCCGACCATCGAACACCTGATTCTCCTTATTTCGATTAATTAACGAGATCTTCAGATGGTGGACAGGTTGTCCTCTCGCGAACGCGCAGTTAGAGGAGCGTGACGTTAGGATCGTGACCGATTAGAGAATGCTTATCGAACTACATGAATATTTATGCGTTGCACCGTTGCGGCTTGGTCGGTGGTCCCAGGCGTCAATGAGTTTTCAGTAGCTGGATGAAGTTCGCTGGAAGACGGTAGCTGTTCTTAAATGAGGCGGCAGAATTTTATTTGCATCCAAGGCAGAGAACGTAGTCGATGAATCATGGACAACAAGGACGTTTTTCAACTGTAAAGAAGATTCTAGATTCGGAAGATTTTATAATTAATCGACAACCTAGATGACACGAATACTTTCATTCTCGGGTATTTTATGAGCCGTCGTTTGCACAGATCGATTAACTCCACCTTTTGAAAAATCTTAAATTTAAGCGTCAAAGCACCTGGTACCGTCACAACTTTTTATATTTATTAACACCTGTTCTAACGTGTCGTAGGAACATCACGGGATGTCTACTCGCAATACTTTGCTTCTGGCGAGGTCAAGAATAGCAATACACGATGGTTACTTATAAAATTCAGACACTGCGTTGAGTCGAGATTAAATTCCACCTGTTCCCTTATTTTATCCAAGGAAGGGTACGTAACGCTGCTCCGGAGAGCCAGGGAATACCCAAAAGTTCGAGAGCCGATAGAACCGTGATTCATGGGGTCGTAATTTGTAAACTGATTTTCTGTGTGGTCGGATTTCCCACGTGCCCCGTGTCCCTCGCGAGGAGATGAAAACTTATCGTCTCCGTGGCTGAAACTCATTTCGAAAATTCCTGGGGTTGAGGTGTGTAATTATCTGGGAATAATGGACACCCTAGGCGGGCCGCGTATCTTTGGTACAGCCGACTGCAGGCAATCGACTCGACTGAAACGGGGGATTTATTGTCCGCGTTGACGCCGCGGCTACGTATAACGCAGGAGTTTAAACGAAAAATAAGGCACGGTGATTCGAAGCCACGATCCTCGGATCCACGCTCGATCGCTTTTCCTACACGACCACACCCTACGATTCGTGTTCTTGTTCGACTCCTTATTTTTAGGGGATAAGATACTGCTATTAATTATCTTTTTCTTCAGCATCGATCTCTCGTTGACCGTACCACAGAAAATTCGCTCGATTCGTATAATTTCAGACGTGTTCGTCGTAACTTTTCTACGCAAGCTTCGTTCACATTTTTATCCCTTGACGGGTGCCAAAACGGTCAGTTTTCATTATCGGTCGTACGTATTTATCACAGACTTTACATCGAATAATAATTGTGCAACGATATCCAGTTTGGGTAATTTAAATTACCTTTATCCGTCGAATACATTTTTTTTATCCGACAGTCATCGAATAAAAACATGTTTGTCTTTAAAAATATTTATTTCTCATCTTTTACTCGATATTTGAAATTTTTATTTAGATACAAAATTTGCCACACCAACGAAAGTAAATGTTATCTGGCTACAATAAATTCGGTAAATATTGTGCGCACGTATTCGTGCGAAACTCGACACCGTCTCGTTGCGCGTACTCTAATTTCAAATCGGAACCAGATTTACAGGAAACCCGTGTCTTACGTAATCGTGTTTATCAGCGATGTAGCGATATCATCACAAAAAGTATGGAAGGCAACGCGTTACTTAATTGCTAATCGTTCACCGATGATCGATGCGTTATTCGTTCAGTCGAAGATCGTGTTTGGAATCATCATGTTTTCGCTTAATAATCCGTGGTTGTGCGCACGTAGACCTTCCCAGAAGGCATTGTGACTCTGTCCACACCGCCAGGGAAGAGTTTAGGGATTTCTTCGTCCTTTACAGTTGGTAAAATCATCACTTTCTCGCCAGGCTGTAACAAGAATCGTGTTAAAATTAACTTCTCCAAGCGGAAGAAATTCTATACCTCGTCGAAAACATTTCAGAAGTAAAATAAAATATTGGAAAAATATATGTGCTTAAAGAAATTAATCTAATCGCGGGAATAATGAATACCAGTAGTACGATAAAAGTTTCTTACCACCCAGTTGGCGGGAGTAGCAATTTCTGGCTTCCTATCGACCAGCTGCAACGAGTCAATGACTCGGAGTATCTCACTGAAAGTTGATAATAGTATCGTTAACGTACTTTCCATTTAGAACTCTTTCATAAATAACAAGATTCGATACGTTCATTATATTTCAATCGAATAACCATTGACTGTAGTTCTACTGTCGAACAAATCTCGAGGACATTTTGCCAGAATAACGAATGTTTACTTACTCAACGTTGCGACCAGTGGACGTTGGATAGTGCATGGACAAACGCAGACGATGATCAGGGCTGATGATGTAGAGCGCTCGAACTGTCATGGCTTTTTCTGGGTCGTCCTTACCGTCCTCGTCGATCATGTCCAATTTCACCGCCAGTGTCCGATCGTGATCCGCGATGATTGGATAAGGGAAGGCGCCGGGGATGTCTCGGCAGTAAGATTTAATATCCTGTCGGGCAAACCGGCAGGTTGGGTAAATTATGTGATCTACGTGCAGCGAACGTCTGCGAATATCAATTGAATTAGAATCGCTGTTGAATAGATCGCGTTCGTGAACGATCTTTTCACGTACTAGTCGGGTAATTTTATTTATGAAATAATCGACTCTGGATCTTTCAAGATAAACAGAAACTTACAAAATTAATGGAGCTCGTTAGTTGAGATTTATCTTAGCTGTTCGTAAACTAAAACAAAATTGAAGAATCTTTTATTTATCTTACCAGAAGAATTTCTATTTAACGTCTATAAACATTTAAGAATGTTTAACGATTCCCCTCGTGCAACAGTGATCTCACGCATGAATGTATATGACTAGGTACTTTGCAAGTCAACGTTGTGCTAATTTTCAACAAAGAAGCGAAGAGCGGAACCTGGATCGAATTTAAAATCTGGATAATTAATTCCTCTTCTTCTTCGTTTGATGTTTCGAACCGTTCCTCCGTGACGAGACACTCGACGCTGTTATTTTCTAAGAGAGTAGCTGAATAATATTTCTCTTACGTTAACCCAGTCGACGTGGTCCTGCAGTTGGTCCACGGAGTGAGCCAGAAGTTTCGTGTTCCGACTTTCGAAATGGGGCTGATGGACTGCCAAACGTCCCAGCTCGGTGGTGCACACTGGGGTGAAGTCGGCAGGATGGGAGAACAAAACTACCCATCTGCGAATCGAAGGTAGAAAATAATCGGCAAAACTATTTTGTTAAATCGGGAAAGGTTTGCACGGAGGATTATTATATTATTGTATCATCTATAGAAGTGACACGCGTGCTAATAGATCAGGTATCGCTCGTTGATAAAACTTTTTCCGATTGAAATTCTCAAATTTCAAGATAGACGCAATTGTTATACAACTGCGACGACCTTCAATCCGACTCCGCACCTTGAAAAGCAAAGCTTCGACCAGAAACCGGTTTCATCGCGTTAAATTTTAATTGACACGTTAGAAATTGCTAGACAAATTATTTCGTATTAAATAGTAATTTATTAGAATTAAATAGAATATATCTATTAAATAATAAGGGTACAAAATTCTTGGAGAACTGAAAATTATCTTTCTCGGCACGATTTCCTTGTTACGTATATTTTCGTTATTTTTAAGAACTCTGTATCAACGTTATTATCACAGCAGGTCCCAAATCATAATTTTGAAAGCCTGCACCTACCCACGCGAACCGATTATAGTTATTCTTTACGTTTCAAACGTCAAAAAAAGAATATGAAAAAAAAAAAAGGAAGGAATTACTCACGAATCTCCTTGCCACTCGTAGAAGTCGATGGGACCCTTGGTGGTGTCCGCGCTGAAGTTGGGTACGATGGAATTAATTCTCATGGTTGACGTAGGTAGGTAGCCTAAACGAGGAAAATTGCTCTGCTATCCGCTGCGACCGCTTTAGACGATGGAGCGCGACAAACTAACGCGAGTGGCTTCGCAGTGATATCTCCGGGCCAGTGATGTTCACGAATAGGAACCTCCACGACTTTGTTGCCACCTCCCCACTCGTGTACTCGTATCGGGCCTATATCGATTGCGCAAATAGTTGCGATAAACTCATACCAACCACGTGATTCGAGCTGGATCGCGTTACCTTATTATTAGTCCGCAGATGTTTATGCAAATTCGTATCTTCGCAGGTACAGAGGCAGACCTGAAACTTGAATGAAATTGCGTCTTCGTTTTTTAGTAGCATGTTTCCATTTGCCATAAATACACAAACAATATGCATGTTATCGATCGGATATACTTTGATTTAAATTTCATGGATCGCTAGACCGCGAAGTTTATTATTTTATTTATTACACAAACGAATATGGCAAATATTTAAGAATATATATAAAAAAAAACTACATATACGTTACGTAAATTTTTTAAATATTTTCCATTATACTCACTGTCTATTGTATCTTTTGCGATTGTATCTTTTTCCACGACGCCTAAAGGTTCACTCGTTAATTACACTACCAAATGAGAAACAAATGGCGTGAAACAGAGGAATGACGAGATCTACTTTCACCTCCAAAATCTAATCAGTCGTACAGCTGTCGCGGCAGCTTACGAAACGCAAGCAACGCTGATAGTCCTCTATCGAGCCACTTCGGATGAATGCCATCGGTAAACGCTCTCCTCGGCTTATCTCTCGTTTATTAAAATTATTTTCCGTTCATTTTGTATCCGCGCTGTTTATCCCAACAACGTCGCGGCCATTCTCGCGGCTGTTGCTAGTCGATCCACCCACCGACACGCGTGTCCGAGCGCGGAAAACATCGATGATAATAATTATCGTGTCACGATGGATGACTCTACTCGTAGCTGGTCCCGGAGCAACCGTGGCTCGCTGTGTACAGAGATATCGGACCGTTTGTCTCGGTCTGTCCGCCGCTTCCGTCACTCCGTTCCGCGGGATCACCGTCCAAGGGGCCCCGCGTAGTACGTCGTTACTCGAGCGGATTCCTATCAGTGACATGCAAATCGATCTCCCCGCTCGACCTTTGCTACGAAACGGACGTATCGCCGGTGCAAGGCGGTGTATCTGCGCTCGAGACGTACATATTTACGTATGGGGTATCGTTACCTTCCATCTGTACCCCTCAGCAGGAACACCTCCACCCTTTGACTCTGGCTCGACCGCTGGAGAACGTCGCCTTGGACTGGGAGGACTCCTCGAGTCCTCTGGATCCGAGTGTCGGGGATTTCTGAGGGTTGGGAGTGATGTGTCGATGGCGTTGGATTTGGGGGCGTCTCGAGTTGTTACTTTTTCTTACTTCCACTCTTCGACTCTGAATCGATCACCGGACAACATCGCTTTGGACTGGGAGGACTCCTTAAGTCCTCTGGATCCGATTGTTAGGGATTTCTGAGAGGCGTGGGTGATGTGTCGATTTGGGGGTGTCTCGAATTGTTACTTTCCCTTGCGTCGTTCTCTCGAGGATCGGTAGAAGCTTTATTTTTGGCGTTAGTGTCAGTCAGAGCCTTAGCGTTGCTTAATGAAGCCTACCTAAAATCGTGAGCAATGAAGCGTTCAGCCATCCATGATTGGACCCATCTGTGACATTTTGAATTGCTACCTTGAATTGCTACCCGAAGCATCGATCTAAAACCACGGTACTTCTGCTTGGAGAGGTGTGCTCCAATCTTCAACAATCTTCAGCCCCCTCCAGTTTGATCCACGATGCTGAAGATAGCTCCCCTTCGAAGTCTTATCTCGGACGCGTTAATTATAGCCTCCTTATCGCTACCGCTGACGCCGCCATTCCTGCAAGTCACCTTCTAACGCCTATCTTTTACCTCTAACGACTCGATTACAAACCTTCGGTTATCGACACACAATTTCCTCATCCTTACCTTCCTTTCCCGAACTATTTTTCCGTTTTTCATTCACACCAAACGCCGCGGTCTTCTCTTCCTGCTTAACAAACCGTTTCAGCCCAAGTCGCCGTCCACGATATCTCCGCGAAATACTCGTGGATTAAACCGTCGCCCCGTGGTTTAGCGGATGGTATACGCCCGCGAAGGGCACAGAGAAGAACAAAATTCGTCGTAAAAATCGGCGAACGAGGCCCGCCGGGACGTCCAGGGCGTCGAGTTCGCGCAAGATCGTAACTCGGATTAAAGCCCGCGAGCGTAACCTTGCGCGCGACCACCTGTCGCATAATTTCCGATCTAAGCCCGACCCCGGGCCGGATCTATGAGGGGTCCCGGCGTTCGTAGGAAGCCAAAGGAGCTCGCAAATTTCGCGGAATCTCCCGACGACAACGGCGTTCCGGCTGATTTACAACGAGCAAACACCGCCGCGCCGGCGATCGGGGGACGACTTACGACCGACGCGCGTTCAAACCAGCTGTAGATTTTTGTCGATGATAAATTCGAGGCGGGAACTTTTTATATTCGACGCCCGCTGGGTTCTCGCTATTTCGCAGCCGGGTGGGACCTTGAACCGCGACTTGCTCTTGCTTGGCTACGTTCGATCGTGGATGCTGGACGAACTAATCCGATCACGTACTGGTGAAGATCGAGGACGGAGGAGGTATCCAGGTTGTCACTGGTGTTAGGGAGACGTACTTGGATGTAAGGGGTGCATCAGGATATAAGAGATCTCGACGCGATGGATAGGGGAGTCTATTGTCAGGTTTGAGGGGGTGAATCTTTGTCTACTACAAAATGTAACGTGGTTTATGAGATGTGACCTAGGAGTTATTCAAAGATATAGTATAAGGATGGGAGAGACCTCGACGAGATAGTTGGAGAGAGTCTATCTTCAGATTTCGGGGGTGAATCTTTATCTACTCCACAATGTAACATGCTTCATGCAACGTAATCCAGGAGTTATTCAAAGCCGTAGTTCAGATTAAACCTTGAATCTAATAGAATCCGCTTTAACGCTACCTGGCCATCCAAATTTGAATTCTGAATTCCAGACTTATCAGGTTTAGTGTCATCCAAGTGTAGAAATGCTTGGATACATCTAACGCTACGTTATTTGATTGTTATTAAGTGTCATCCAAATGTAGAAATGCTTGAATATCTAATGCTATTCAGCTGGAATGTTGACCAGCGACTCCAAAAAGCATAGTATGCAGCTCGAAGAGCAGCAGCGAAGCTAGGAACCAAGAGTTCGGAGACTTAGGCGCGTTTAGGCGGGCCCGGTCCTCGCGTGTTTTCGCATTCGAATGCCCGAGCTGGTGCGATTTAAAACTCGTTTCGGCGCCACGGCGGGGCGCGGGCCTCTCGCCAAGGCGAACACTTGGGCGATTTCGTGCAGCATCTGGACCAGAAGAGGAGAAGATGTGGGGGGAGTATGAAAAGAGCACGACCACCGGGCAAATAAAACCCGGGTCCGGTTTTCAAAAGGAAGATGAGCCACGGGAAGGAAGAAAGAGGAACGCTAGGGTCGCGAACGTCTTATTGTATCGGGAGACAGTCCTTTTCACGACCCCGGGATCCGACGATTCGTGAACTCGGAGATGGTTTCAGTGATCGCCACGGGGATGCTTCGTACAGGTTCCAGGAATAGTGAACATTCGGGGAAGAAAAAGAGTAAGCGTAGATTTGTCTAACCCTCTCATACGAGAGCTGAATCGAACTCTGAGTCAGTGTTTCATCTTAATAATTTAGGGGTAGGTACACTACTTTTAACAGTAGGTGCTAGTGATCGTTGACTTAAGGTCATCCAAGACGGTACAGGATAGGTTAAAGTGCTTGTTAGTCGCAGGGTTTATCGATAGACCCTTCTGTATTTCTAACAGAACGGTCTGATCATCGACAGGCTATTCTACTTCACCTATAAGAAAGTAAATTCCAAAAACGATCGTATATCTTAATCAATATAAATAAAATGCTAGCCGAGGTAAAGAACAAATCACGAACGCGTTCGTCTAATCTAAACACTTTAGCAGACTCAACGTCGATACGCGGCTGGTATAAGTCAAATGTTATCCGTCCAGCTTTCGAAATCTCGACGATCGTTCGTCCTTCGAGGGCGTCCGTCCATGTCGAAAATTATGCGATCGACGCCGCGCTAATGCGTTCTGGCACGAAACGTGGCGAGGATTTAGAAGGGTGATTTTTCAATCGGGCGTCGTACAGGTACGCTCGAGATAATTTACTAATGTCAGAGCGCGTTGAATCGTAATTAGCGTTATCTGCGGACCGTTTGGAGGCGACTCGAAGTGACTCGTCGAGCAGAGAATCGGTTGTATCGATATCGGGGTAATGGAAACAAGAGTCCCCAGCCGGCGACATTAAGAGGCGCGATTTGCATACGTCCGTTTGGGAGAGACACGCGACGTCCTACAGCCGCGGATCTTTTCGGAATGTGGTACGATCTCGATGTAGCGGTATGAGTTTTATCAGAAAAGAAATCAGATTCGAGGAACTGGATTTATACGTTGGCTTTGGTTTGAATATTTTAAAGAAGAATAGAGAAGAATAGAGTGCCTAACGCAGTGCCCTAGATTCTACGACCTTTCTTCTACGTCACTCCACACACACACACACACACACACACCATCTTCAACAATCCCAACATCCACGAGAGGAGGACCTATCCGAATCGTTTCAAATTATTCGTACACCGTACACGTCACACCTTCGTCCAGCGAACAAAATTATCCGAGAGATCTATCGAGCCCGCGAGCAGCTGTAAAAGCCTCCTCCCTGAGATCACTTGGTCGATTTCGATCCCCCCCCCCCCTCCCTCTCTGTATCGTCCGAATGATTCGGCCAATCGGATCGGTGGCCTCGAGAGGATAAAAAAAAATTCAATTTGCCGGCTGTCCAGGCTGACGAGGATGAGCTGGAGATTACGTTCAGTCTTTCGTGCAAATTCGCCACCCCGGGACAGGCGGCCGGGGCCGAACAGATCATCCTAGATAAAGGAGGAGCGATCCTCGGGATAATATTAGGCCCGGCCACGGCGCACGACATGCAGACGTCTCGGAGATATGTTCCCCACGCGCTTCACATACGCCCAGACGGTGAATGCCGACTGGGACGAGTGTCCCTCGACAAGGGAGTTCTTTAAATTCTACCCCGACAAGAATTCCTCGGC